ATTTATTCTTCTTATTTTGGTGTTTAGTAAATAAAAACTGAACAATAAATAAATTACTGAGGCTTGATTCTCATGTTCATCTAATTAGTTTTGATGATTAGGCTCTTTGTCTATAATAACTTTATATAACTTGGTTTTTGTTGTTGAAAAACTGCTGGTAAGACTTAAACTAAACGGAAAAGATACTTTCTTTAAAAAAATTGATAGTTTTAATGTTAGTATTTCTTACTAAATTACCTAAAGAGTATAAATCAAAATTTTTTTATCAGTTGTTACAAACGCCATATCATCAGTTATTTGGTTTTTCAAAATTCAAAGTTGAATAGTATGAATGAAATAAGACAAGTTAGTTTTATAGAAACTCTTATTATTATATGTCATACTAATGTTAAAATCAATTCGTAAAGAGAATACTTAATTAAGAATATTATGTTTTTATTATTTATTTGTAAGTAACATATGATAAATTAAGGAATAAAACACAAAGGAATTTCAAAGATAAAGTATTAGTTTTAGTTAGTTTAGTTATGTCACTTTCAATTTCACAATAGAATTTATTAATCTGATTGTTATATTTTAATGAATGGATTTAAACTCAGATATGTCTTCCAAGAACAATTCCAATAAAAGAACCACAAATTGTTATCACTAAAGAATTTTGAAATAATGAGGGGAATATCATTCCATATTCAAATCATTTTTTCATTTCTAGAAAAATAGTCTTGAATTTATTATGACGGGATATATGCTTGTTTACAATTAATAAAATGAATAAATGTCTAGTTTACTTCTGGCTTAATATTAGTACTGTTGTTTAGGATAGTATTTATGTTTATACTGACTGTTAATTGTTGATAAATGAAATTTATATTATTCTACCAAGTGTCTTTCTCTTCAATCAATTTCAGAGTGCTAAATAATCAATAAAATAAAAACTAATGTTTTTGGTTTTTCTATGAGACTTTAAATATACCAAACAAGAAAATGTATTAATTCTTGATTAATTTGATAGGACATATTCAAAAAAAAATGGTTTATTACAACCAATTTACTTTTAGTGATAAAATTTTTTTAATTAACATTATGACACATTACCTACTTAAAGATTGGATTTGTATTTTCACACCACTTGATTCTCTAACATAACAATTTATTATTTTTAAATTCTTGAGAGTGTTAAGGTTAATAGGAGAAGAAAAACCAAAAAATACAATATGTTTTATGAAAGATATGATAAACACAAAAGGTAATATAATACAAAACAATATTTTTAATAGAAAAAAACTGAAATTATTAAACCTGATTTAAAAGGCATGAATACTACAAAAAAATAGATTTAAAACTATATGAATTATTCAATATTTTAAGATAATTTATTTATAAAAAAATTCAAATTATTTGAATTACCCAAATTTTGAAAAGAAAATAAGCTAACAACAATAAACAATTTTCTTTCTTATTATAATGAATAGATTGAGTAATAGCAATTTTATTTATTTAATTCCTTTAATAAGTTTAAATAAAAGGGAAAAAAAAGAGAAAAATCAACTTCAATAGAAAAAGTAATAATCTAATTTTATACTAAAAATGATGTTTGGAAACAGAATAAAAGATTATTTCTTTTATAAGTATAGAATTATTTATTAAATAAAAAACAATTAGTAAGAAATGGCTTTATTAATGATGCTTCATTTTTATTTATATCAACTTAAATTATGAATGAAACGTAAAAAACTTATCTCTTAGAAGAATTGCCACGTCAAGTTTGAAGAATAAGAATATTAAGATTTATCTGAATAAACAGATGTCATGTGCGGTAAGGAAGTAAAACAACCAAAAAAAAAGAGTAATGAAGATCAAACAATTAGTGATGATGTGAGACATAAACAAAACCATGAAGAAAATGTTTTTGGACAATGGGGGTTTTTGATTTATTACATTTTATTAAAAGATGGAAGTGTCACTATTAAGCCATTCGTCAAAAAAATAGATATTGACAAAAGAAATCAAATAGACTTTTGTTCGGTAGAGGTTGGTGGAAAAATTTTGTCTGCAGAAGAAATTCAAAAACAAGTAATCCCAATGATAGATAAATCAATTAACCAGAGATATTTTACAAGGACTTTACGTAGGTATGTTCATGATACTATTATGAATGAGGTTGTAGAGTGGTGTAAAGAAGAGGCTAGAAAAGAAAAAATTTATATATCAACAAAGTCATCAAAAAAAGCAAAGAACGAAAACAAACCACCTAATACTATAATTAATCGTGTCACCATTAATGGTAAAAATTATGATAGATATTTTATCAGAACAAACTGTGGAAACTGGTTAAAAGAGATTCTTGAATATTTGATTCCAAACCCACCACCTAAAAAGAACACAATAATAATTTCAAAAAAAACTGTTCCTCCTAATATAGTTATGAAAGATATGAGTCTTGAAAACTTCCAAACAAATATAAAAGTACCAGAAAGAAATATAACTAATCCTTCAACAATAACCAAAATTAATGGACATGCAGGATATTATGACTTATGTGGAGAATTACATTTGTGGAATTGTCAATTGTATCTGCCATTTACCATAGAAGATAAATTGAAACCACTTGATTCAATTCTTTCACATAGTCAAACTAATTTATAATAAAAGTCAATAATATTTGTTTTAATATTTTTGACAATGCCAGTTGTTCAGATTTAAAGGTGGCAGGTTATAAACACAACACAAACATTAATACAAAATCAAATAATGAATTATCAATTATTATCTAATTATGATGTTGTGTTTGAATTAGAAATATATTAGTGAATATTACAAGAATGAAATAAAATAATATGAAAGAATA